TTGGTCGAAGGAGGCTCGACAACCGACAACTTCCATCCCATTGTTCTACAGATTACATGCCTAAAAGGTACGATAAAATGCCAACATCCGCTTCATTTTTAGTGCGCACGGTAAGAGTAGCCTTAAGAGGAACATCGCAGAAGCGTCACAGATTCAGCAGTGGATTTGCTATGCAGGATTTTAAGCACAACTACACCTCTGATCACAGCACCCCACTTCCAAACCTTACATGGAAATACAAAATCGCCCAATCCTTGTAGTTATAAGCATGCAAACACACACCTTAATCGATAAAGAAAAATGAAACTCACATCAGAATGTTGGGTTAAACGCATTATACCTCTAACAACGCCTTCACAATGCTGTAATTTGAAATCTCTGTTATTATTTTTTTGTTCAGCTAGAGCAGATAAAACCATAGAGGCCAATTTGTTCCAGTTTCCAATAATGTAAACAGCGAAATTCCTAACAATAAAGATGCCAACCAAAGTCAAAATCACTTAGAGCCAGGCACCTTAGTTATGTAAAATGAGATCCAGTCCCAATGGCGATAACTGCTAGACACGGGATGAGAGATGTGGCTTCCATCAACTGACTACACCAAGACCGACCGTAACAGTATCAGCTGTGAGATTTGTCCCCAAACCCGCCTTCGATACTTCGAGGTTTCCAAATCTACTTTCTAGCAAACCTATCACACATTACCTGGGTCAATGTACAAATTACTGAATGAATGGACAAGATTGCCTTCAACTCATCCATAATTTCCCCGAAATATGCGCAGCACCTCCAATTTGTATTTCATTTCCCACGTTATCGCGAGCACCGGACAACGCTATGGTCACTTAGTCAGGACAGGGAGACTTCACTCACCCTGCTGGAGCGTGACAAGTCCTATCACTACTACTGCTGCTCGAGCGAAGTGTAATGCACGTAGAAAGTGAAGAACAGCGGAGCCAAGGAATGTCATCCACTATGTGAGTGTAGATGGTGGCGCTTGCAATTCGAGAAGAAAGCAGATACCGATCAAGGAGGTGGAATTGTTGAACGACGCAGACACGCAATGATTTCACTTTCCAACTGCTAAAATAACCAAGCCTTTGCTAAAAACGAAAATGGAATTTCTGCAAGCGCTAGTTACTTAAGGGATACAATAATCTATGCAGACTATGGTGTACAACAGCGGAAAAAGGCTGACAATGAATAACACAATGAGAATCAAGTGAAGAGTGTCCATTAGAAACCCTGGCTTAGCCCATGCGTTGAGCATTCATCAAGGATGCAAATTTCCGCTAACGGCTCGTCTTTTTTCTCTTTCTCAAAAGTGACAAACGAGATGAGCACTTAGATCTCAATTCCGCGCGGACAATCAGGAGCTAATATCCCTACTGACAAAAGCTTTGGCAGCACCCAAAAAGCGCATACTGCAGTGGTTACCCTAACGAATCGACTTCCCATTAAATGCATCACGCCAACCGCAATCTCCTTCAGGATGACGGATACCTACACACACCGAGATCAGTCACTGAAGTCGTCAACTTTAAACCTAAGTCTACTCGTCAAACCTGTACACCCACACTATACTGTTGCTTATTAACGATTTCTGGTGCCTTTACACAAATTCTCACCAGATATAAGAAAATTGCAAGGTATAACGACCACCCAATCAATATGGGATGAGTCAACGCAATACTTTCAACAAGAGTTACCCCACACTGCCCTAGTTGTCGACGGACGACAAAGCTGGAATTCGAGGCATTTGTGCTCTCAACGTGAGACCCCTCGAATGTCAAACCGCAACTCCCGCCAACATTGATAGATAAAAAAGACAACGTGTCTCCCTCCACCCTAAAACTCGCTTCCACTGTAGGTCACCTGTCACCTGTCACTCACATCTATCACTACCTTACCAGCAGGACGAATTTTCCTAGACATAAAATATGAACCATTCTTCCTAGTCTTTTGACCGAAGGTGTTATTATTCCACATGCCCGCGGCAGCATGACCTACTACTAGACAGCTAATGATCCCGAATTTGCCATCCAAACACCAAGCTGCGATAATATAGAACTGACGGAGTCGTAGAGACCAAAAAACTAGTCATTGAAGTAGTGTCCCAAACCATAGATTGCATTTCAGGAAACATAGTTATAGATCGAAATAATTCTGCACCGATCGCGAAGATGTTAAAAGACATCCAATAGTGAGACACCATCACTCAGATTTACTTTCCAATTAGAACGTAGAACTAGTGGTCAACTTCGACGAACCCAACCGGCGTACGAAGTCCTTTCCAGTTGGGAGTTTTGCAAACTCCGTTTCTCATTCACATTGCTGCTGAATTTTCTTTGTTAATCTCTTGCTTTCCCCACTTGATAATCGGAAAGAGAAAGACGTGTCCCTTATAGTGCATAAAAGCCAGTCAAGCTCGTTCTAGGCGCTGCTCCTGGTGCTTCTATTGACGCCGTAACGGTGTGCATCCACAGTGTTTGCCCAGTTATTACCTAGTGGATCCACATTCATCGTTCGCATGCGATGTGCACTTTGAAAACAAAACGAGGATTAGGGTTGATCCTGACTTCAAGGCATCACACCCGGAGGGCACGTAGGACAAGGAATACATCGTGAAGACACAGACTGATGGGAGAGTCTTGCGCTGTGATCGTCCTTAAAGTCGATTCTATTTGCCCAATTACCAATGTTGACCGAAACTTGGCATTTAGGAATTTCGCCTTATTGCCTCTTCTATGCGCTTCATTGATTAATCACGACAAGGGCCAAATTAGTCTTCAATACTACATTCACAACTGATGGTTGATTCGCACACAGTATGGGAACCTTCGGAAGCTCAGTTCGGCAACAACATATGCAAGGAATTTCCCCAAACTCCATTCCATAAAGCGTGTTCGTGTTCTTCTCTATCCAAATATGGGCCGAGATTAAGAATGCTAGCAAGAATCATGTGTGTTCTCACACAATGAGGGGATTTATGCAATGTCAGAGCCTACATAGACAATGAACCACCAATTGCCATGCAATCCAGAGAACCCGACATTCAGCGCATCCTATGCAACAATCTCAAACATGTGAAGTCAGCGCGATCAAACACACGTATTTTGTGTTGTTTTGCCTATGATTTCACGCAAGGATTCTTAAATACGAACTAATTTTTAAGTACTTAATTTTTAATCTAAAGTAGTTGAGTATTCTTAGAAATATTTACTGAACATTTTTGTATCGCATTTTACTTAATTTCCTCCTTTACACCTAGTTCAAATGCGTTTCGAATTCACATAGCTGATAGAGATTTTGGATTTGATATAACGTGCTAATGACTAAACTCAAATGGTCTGAGTAACTGGCTGCATTTCAAGGCAGTGCAGTACCTTTTTATCAACCAAAAATTTCGGAACGCTAAAAATACCGCTTTATTTATAGCAATAGTAAATGTATATGCATTATACCCATTAATTTATTTATGTTGCTTATATAGGAGAGAAGCGGTTATTAATGCGAAATGCGAATATTATGCGTGAAGGACGCGTGGAACCTGCCTCGGGGAAACTCCGTATGAACTTCTTATCAATACTTATACTCTTTTCCATTACGTGCAGGATGCCTAATCAACCCCACATAACCAACTCCTTTATGAAGCCAGCAATTCAGGGTTCTGAGGGTATGATTTTGGGCCTTAGAGTAACTTTTGGACGTGAAGTATCACCTACCCTATTCTTCCAATCCTTTACCTTCTTTTGATTTGAGGCAGATTTTAGGCGTCCCCACGTAATACTGGATGATAGTTGAAATTGAGCTTGGTAAAGGAGTGCTTACGTTACTCCCGAGTGGGTTTTGCAGACTCCTCCAACCCAGCGTTTTGAGTTGGGTTCCTGCCTCTTCCCTGCGAAGCGCAATTTAAATAGACAATATGCAGTAAAGGGCCTGCTTTGGATATTGTCCTTCCGTATAGGCTTACTTACCTAGTGCAGGTGAAATGTCTGCCATCATGAATGCTCTTATGTGCTTAGGTGTAAATTCTTCGAAACTCAGCGTTTAGTTAGCAAATATCCTATTGGTCTTGTAATGCCCCAAATTTTCCAATTTGTTAGTTTAAGGATTTAGGCACGAGTAAAGAGGATGATTGTTAGTCACTCTAGTGTTGGATAAGTGAAGTAATACCGGTCTTATTCCAACCGATCTTTGCTTGAATATTGTTAATGCTAGCGCGACATAGGATCAGCCCTCTAGCTTGGAGACTACCGTGTAAGAGCGGCAGGTGTTGTGCTGAGACCTTTGCTTGACATGCTCTCAAAGTTGCGTTTCCATTATGAGTAGATCGAGGGGCAGAGTATCAGCATCAATGTGTTCCTAGTTAAACTAAAAATGTGTAAACGGGATTATGCTTATGATGTGCAGTCCAGGTGACTCCTTGTCACTATAACTTCCTGTCATTACCTGTTTCACTATTCAGACTCATCGTTTTTGTGATTTAAAAAAAAACGCGTGGACAGTCACATGCCCTTCCCTCTTAACTTCCTTTTGAGGGAAAATCTTATGCTTTTGCGGCGCACACGTCCGTAAACACGACAAACTTTGGATTACATATTGGGATTTTTGATCAGGATCGACTCGGTGTGGAACAGCTCCTGTGTGACAGCTCTCTTGGTCATTCTACAGAGCGGACCTGCTCAGATTATGACTAGGCATTAGTATACAATCTCTTGGTCATTTATATTTGGCGTGGTTACGAAGGTACTGAATGACTCTATGCATGCCTATCAAACCTCGTCAGTCTTTAAGAAAGCATCAATCAAACGTCGAAACCAGCACATTGGCACGAAGGGAACTCCTTAACATCTGACAAAAATAATATAATATTTACACAAGGAAACACTGCATTTTGAGCAACAAAACAGATCATTGAGCAAAACAAGCAATATCCAAATAACGGAACTCTGCATTTCGTCGTATCTGTGAGTGAATGTCGGCAAGTGTTTAGGTTTTTACTCAATGCCCACTCGCTTTTTCAGTCTTGCCGCATATCCCCCACCCATCCGTCTGAACCTTGTTGTAAAGGCTGAGCCTTTACCTATCACCTCGTGACAGGGCACCCTATTCACCTCTATGCCAGCCAAGTTCACAGGCGTCTTCCTCCTACTCCATTCGGATGGTTTCGCTCTCTTTAGAGAAGACTCAGCCTTCTGGGCGAATGGAGCTTGCAAAAGTGACTTGTCGAAGGTCGGACAACAGTCGTTGCTCTCACTCGTGTATGTTAACGCCTGATTCTGAATCGGAATCGGAGATTTTGGCTTTGAGTTCCTCCGCACCTCCACATTATCCGACTGCAGGAAACTTTCAAGTGTACGGCGCACATTGGCACAATTTTTTGACACACTGATGATTTTTGTGATTGAAGCCTCACATTCGGACTGATTGATGTTAACCAGTTGGATTTTAGCACTTCCCACATGCTGCAGTAGGTTGCTGAGGTCAGTTACCACATCTATGTACATTTTCGCAACACTGCCTTCCAGACATTGGGTGAGAAGCTGAGGAAGCCATTCCCGAATGGCTTTCAGCTTGCGAGTCTCAATGGGAATGGAGTAAAGGTGCTTTGCAATCCAATAAAAGAGTTTGTTTGAAGCAATCATCTGATGAAGGGGTCGACATTGGTCATAAAAATCTGGTAGAGAGTCAGTGGTCGAGTTGTAAAAAAACAGGGCATTTATAAATTTTGATAGAGCAATCATCTCAGTGTATATATTTTGAATCTCCATCAAACTGTGCATAATCCAATGGCCTTGTTGACATTCAGGCAATTCTGCTTCATTGTGGGTGCAATTTGAATTGTCATAAATTGGCATTGTCTCGGCTACTATCTCGCTTACTTCCTCATACCTAGAAAGGAGTGTCTCCCATGGTTCTTCACAATTAAAGGACTGTGTCAAAGCACAAATACAGGCTGCAATGATGATTGGGCAGTCACTTGGGTTGCAGTACTCCAAATTGGAGGTTTCTTTCGACATTTGCTCAAACCAAATCATGAGACAAAGCGAAAATAGATTGAGCCAATCAGGCAAGTTTGCATTGGGAACGTAAGAAAAGGAACTGTATATAAAATTCATATCCATCTCGTATTCAGGTAGGCGAATTTGGTCCAGTGTAAGGAATAACAATTTCACAGTTTCCGAGTTGAGTGGATGAATCTCTATCACTCTCGGTTTTGCGCCATTAAGATGTGAGCATCCACCGATTGACATCTCATAAGTGTACATGAGGCAATAAGTAAGATACCTAACAATTAAAGCTTTCAAATAACATGAAGGTAGCCCTGCGACATAATCCAAATCGCTTGGAAAAACTTTGGCATCTTCAAAATATAGGGAAGATAATATAAATGGACAGACAAACCCACGACGGTACGCCTTCAGCATACGCGCCGGCCAATGATCGAGGATGGGTTCGCCCACAGACGCGGATGATGAGAAACCTTGACAACTACATTTGCCATGCAGAATTGCAGAGATGCGTTTACAAGTATTCTCGTCAGAGGTGGGAGGATTAACATTTATTTCTTGGAGAATAAGAAGAGCCTCCTTGAGATCCATTTGTGTTCGACTAATCGACTGTGGTATGCACTGAGACACAACGCTCTTTAATTCTGCATCCCCAATAAGATCGATCACACTCTGTAGCGCCTTAGAAGGTCCAACATCATTTATCCACTGGACAAGTTTGGTGGCATTCTGAATGATCTGTTTGCGATTGTCATTACTTTTATTGTGCAGATCGTGGTCGACTGCTTCAGGCGGAAGACGTAGCCTAGGTATTGATAAATCGCCCCAAAGTATGCCAAATACACGACAAGAAATGGGTGACAATTGTGATAATAGGGATTCAACTGGGTTATATAAATGGCCTTCTAAAGAACAAACAGCGCCGGATGAGTTAAAGTTTTCACATGGATCTGGTTGGATGGGGGAAAAGGAGAGACCGGAAATGGGAAAATACTTAAGGTTACCGCTAACGTCATCATTTTCAAAAATGGGATTTGATGCCATAATATAATACAATGCGTCACTTGCAAAGAGAGGACAGTCCAGTAGGCTCGCAATGGCAACTGCCACACTGGCGTTGTATCCAGCGGTAAACGCATATTTGACGTTAAATTCATCCAGGATGACGGTTAAAGCACTTAGCTCCCAATTGCAATTGCCTGACTTGCAACTAAATTGTTCAGGCGGTGTGCTTGGACTTGGAATTATTGGATTTTTCATTGACTTTTTTAGACGATCTACTTTTGAAAACCAACCTGTAGACTAAGACCATAAGAACAAGATGGTCAAACTTACAATGCGTGTATATAACCCTTGAAAAAGAAATATGGGTACAATATTACACTTCATTAATACAGTGATAACGTGTTTAAATAGAGTTGCCATGTGTAGAGGAGCAACACCATATCCTTTAGTTGACTTCTGCCTCCTTTTAAGTTCTCTATATAAAGCATGTGCATCTACGACGGCATAAGTATCGCAAAGATTAACTGCTATGAAGTTAAGACAATCACTTTCAATAACAGCAGATAAGCTGGGAGCCATGTGATTGTAAAGAGCGCCTTATGCAACGAAAACACCTTCGCAAGGCTATTGTTAAGGTCATCGGTCTGTTTAAAGAGTTACAGCACTTACTGTGTAGCATACAGGAGACAATATTAATTACTCTTGTTTATGACGAATAAAATGTAACCCAGACTTAAGCCAAAACGTTGAAGCATTTACGAAATTACTGTAGCCATTAAATAGACATAAACCAAAAGCTTATATTATGCTTCATGTTAAAAACCAAATAATTAAGGACAAATGGAAATTTTAGCAATTCAATTTGGCATCCTAAAGCCTTTTATAGGGTAAAAGAGGGCATAAGTGAGGTTTAATACATATGTATTTCGAAGACGACAGCGCAAATGAGGTCTGAGCGTGGACCGAAGGCCAGCCAGCTAGACAACTTTTAAAGTGACCGCAAAATATCCAGTAGTCACCTAAACGAAGCATCACACTGCCCCTCTCTTCTTTTAAGTAACATCCCCGGCTCTCCCCCTTGGTGTACCTCCCGCGCCAGCTATCACAACATATTCGGACTATATGAAAGCACCCACGAGCCAACCGCGCCAGTCGAGAAACAACACGAGACCGGGGAACCGTACCTGGTCTTCTCTGCAGCTTCAACCGGATCTGGAGTTACGTTTGGTTTGACAACAAGATTCGGGCCGTATACACCTGCTCACCATCAACTGCTCGCATGAATAGACGGTGGAACTCTGGTCTAAAACATATGTTACATAATTTCACTTCCAAAACCTAAACACGGATATTTTATGGGATATTCTGTAATGCTTTGTTTGTGTGACCATCTGAA